CATTAGTTGGAACTATTGCAGAACATGTTAGTTCTACCCCCTCAGTACAAAATAAGTCTACTGAAGTCCCTTCTGTTGTACCACACATTGGTCATACTCCACCACTTGGAGGAAGTTCTAAATCTCTTCCATTAACTACTCCACCATTAGGACCACAATCACCACATGACACACCTTCTCCACAAAGTCTTTAAGCATCTAACCCTCAAAATCAAGGCACATTTGTTGCTCATGATGATCACAATGTATCAGATGTTTAGAGCACTTGTGAGAAACCCATTTTAACACTTGATGGATATGGATAAATCACTTAAATTTTAACAAGGTTATATTTTGTTCACATTCTATGTACAACTTGTACTTTATCACTTTATTTTTGTTGTAGATTTTTGCCTTCATACTTTGCAGCTACTGCCATTGGTGATATTTTCAAAAATCATTACACTGATGCATGGCCATCATGAAAAAGGGTACCTCAAGATATTCGAGACATGTGGTTTAGTGAGTTCATGGTATGTATTTATATTAGTTCTTAACTTTAAAATAAGTTACAAATATTGAATGTCTTATAACATTTACTTGTTTTGTTTGGGTACAGAGAACTATTTTCCCACCTGATCATAGGTTGGCTAGAAGGAACTTTGAAATGCAAGATGTTAACATATTGAAAAGTTCACTAAACAAGGTACACATGATAATGAAGAAGCCAAATTGGCTTGCAGAAGATGTATGTGATATCTTATGCCAACATTGGGGATCAAAACAATTCAAAGTAAAAATTTTGATTGCAAAAGCAAATCGAGCTTCTGATTGTGATGGACTTGGAATTTCATTCCATACTAGTGGCTCCATTAGCACTTCTCAACATAGAGAACATTTGGTAAAGTTTGATTTATACTCCTTTATGCATGTATTGGTCTTATATGTTGTACTTTTGAACCTATAATGTATATGTGAATTATGGAACCTTGGATTACATTTAGGTTTGGAAAGAATGTACATTAGTTAGTTCAAATTTGATTGCATGGTGTTGTTTATGATGGAAGAGAAAAATAGTTATTACATTACCTATTATCATGACTTGACAAACTTCTTTTCTTTTATGTTGGATATTGCACTTCTAAGTTTGTGTTTTTAACCATATTTTAGATAAAGTTGAATGGAAAACCCCCTACCCCATCAGAGTTTTTTCGCAAAACACACAAACAAAAGGATAACACATGGGTGGATCAAAGATCAGCACATGTGGATGTAAGTTTCTTATTTTTTTCTTATGTTAATTTCTTAAACAATTGTACCCTTTTTTATGTTTTTATCCAATTCACTAATATTCTATTTTAATGTTTATAGGCAGAGTTTAGTCATGCATGGGAAAAAGCCTCCCAATTAGGATCTATTGCAGGAGACTCTCCGCTTGATGAATTACAGGTTTGATGTAAAGTTTCTAGAATAAACAAAGGCAAAGTATATAGGCTTGGATCTGAGTCAAGCAAAGCAATTGGGAGAAATCTTTGCCACGACTCTACTTCATCATCTGTCCAGCTTATGAGACAGGAGATTGAACAATTAAAACACAAATTAGACGAAGTTGAGACTGAAAAGGATGATCTTCGTGAAAGAATGTTAACTAATGAGAGACAAATTCAGAAAAATGATAAAATGTTGCTCCTCTTGATAGAGAAGATGGATGTTCAACCTCCTGAATTGTGAACTGATTCTATTTTGTATATTGTATTTGTTTTGTTAGTTTCTGACATTTCCAGAATTATGACTCTTATTTTAGTTTATTCTACTTACTTTTAGATTGAATTTTCAATATGTAAGAAAGTATTTAATTAATGAATGATGAATTTATTTAGAACAAAATTTGCGATATTATTTTGATGGTTATAATGTATTTTATATTCCTTAATCAGGTTTATCGTTATTTTACAAAAAATATAAAAATAAAATAAATTTAGTGACCGATATAGTGACCGATCTGGTAATATATATTTGGTCACTAAATTGGTCACTGATTCGGTTAGTAAATCGGTCACTGAATCAGTCACTAATTTTGTCATTGAATCGGTCACTGATTCGGTCACTAATTCGATCACTGAATCTGTCATTGATTCAGTCACTATTTTAATTAGTGACTGAATTTTCGGTCAATATTTGGTGTTTTTCTTGTAGTGAGGGTTATCACCTTGAGTGGTGGTTTCCGAGAACGACCTACTGGCACTAAGGCCATTACCACGACCGACCATAAACACCGCCCACTCCCTATGTGTATTCACTCTTGCCCCTAGATGTAGGGGGACTATTGTGTGCAAGGGTTTGTGTACAATTTGTATTTCAAACAATTGCAGAAAATAAACAGACAACAATTATTAAAGTTATAGAACTAAAACATGTTATACAACACAAAGAAAGGGTAGAGGCATAATTTCAAATATACTTTTTTTTTTAGATTATTCCATCACTAAATGAGATTAACTCTCATGACTTTCCCAATGGAGTTGCTGTTGAAACATACAAAGATATGAATGTTGAACATACAAGAATATGAAGCTTGTAGATTTTGATGATGATTCAAGAATAAAGGACTTAAAGATTTGAAAACTTATAATGTTATGTAATAACTCTGTTTTTATGATCTTGAGTCTGTAATATTAGAGTCCAAGATAGCCAGCACATAGTCCACTTTTTAAAGGCTTTAAAAACTCATTTTTATCAAAAACATACTGGATTAATCGATTAAATGACAGGATAATTGATTATTACAGAGAGAAAACCATTTTCAGCATCTGCTCTCTGGAATAATCGATTAAACCCCTGTTAATCGATTAATTGCCCAATTAATCGATTAAACTGACCTGTTTTGGGTTCTCTGCGAATTTGGCTCTGGAATAATCGATTAACACTCAAGATAATCGATTATTTCAGTCAAATATGTGTTTTGAAATTCAAAATTGGACCAAGTTTCGAAAACCCTATTCCCAATTCATCTGTTTTTGAAAATCCCCAATTCCCAAACCCTAATCTTTCTACTTAAGGTTCTCTAAGGCTCTCTGCAAATAGAACAACCTTTTTCAAACAAAAGTTAAGAGTTGTGATTGCCAGAGAACTGTTTGTTGGGAGGAAAAAGGGGTTTTTGAAACCTAGTGTGGGCTAGAAGCGATAAGAATCACTAAGTGGGTTTTCTTGGTGGATTGTGTGTTGTGCCGTCTCTAGGAAAAGTTATTCTTCATCCTTTGTGGATTCAAAGGAGGTGTTCATCTCTTGTGTGACTCAAGAGAGGTGTATTCTTTACCTTATCTTTTCAATTGTTATCTGTTTGTAAAACTGTGATTATAGTGACAGCGTTAATCCTCTGTTTGAGTGATTAGCAACTGGACATACGGTCTTTTGATCCGAACCAGTATAAATCGACTATGTAATACTCTATCCCTTCTCTATTTATTTACACATAATTTTAATCGGTGAAATTTGGAGAAAATTTTAAAACCCTAATTTTTGTTTAAGAAACCAATTCACCCCCCTCTTGATTTTTGTCCGTAAACACAAACATTCCGCTGCGCGATTCTAACAATCGCCATCTGTTGCTACCATCCCCAACCGCTAAGGGAGGGGAATCGATAAGGCGGTCAGTTGTGACACAATGGTTTTAATTGACTCACATTTTTTGTAAAAATTTGTGGTCATCGCTCTTAGAGTGTTCGATAACCGAACTACCCTTAAGAGCGAAGTTTTCGTAAAGGGTTCTAGAGTCGTCACCGATGTTTTTACCATAAATATCGAAAAAGGAAAAATAAGAAGGCGTTGGTTTAAGAAAAACCAACTTTGGCCATTATAACCAGAGTTGGGTAAGGGAGTTAGTTACGTGTGAGCAAGGTGTTAGCACCCCACAATGCCCCTTTCAGGTTCCCTATGATGGAATAATTCTAAAATAAAGACATAAAAATTATGCTTCTATCCTATTTATTTATCTACTTGCAGTAATTAAATATTTACTTGGCCCTAAATCTTAATGAACACAGAAGAAAACGATAAAGGAAAGTAATAAAAGAGAAGGAATAGAAAAGGAACCTCCGAAGCGAGCTTTTATATATATCTCTCGAAAAGTTGAGGACACTTTTTGGTAGTCCCCTCCCTCTACAAGAACATTCCTCTCTCGACAAAAAGAAAAAAGAGAACTCAACTCTGGAGTGTCTGAAAGATCACTCGGACTCTGGATTAATGCTCAGAGTTGTCTAGAAGTCTTATAATGCCTTCTAAGGTGATAGGAGAGTGTGTGTATCCTCCAAAACTGAGGAAATGAGGCCTTATTTATAGGGAAACGCGCCAAGAGGTCTGTACGGTCGTCTGGTCATCATGGATGACCATCTAAGGCCTTCTGACAAAATTTTCTAACTTTTATTTTCTTAGAAAACCCTCCTTATCCTAAATGGAACCTAGAAAATGCTACTAGAGGCCTAATGAAGGCTTGTCCATCTTCGAAATGGAAGATTTCTGAACTTTATTGCGAGGTCGGGCAAGATTAGGGGTCTACAATTACAAATTGGAAACTTGAGTAATAGCTCCTTTAGGTTGGTATTGCTGAATCTTTAAATATAACTAAGACCACAACGTTAAATTTGTCTCTAACCATATATTTTTGTTCCTTAAAATATGAAATACAAGAGGTTTAATGACTTGAATGGACTTGACTCAACTTTTGTGAGTGAATTATTGGAATTGTCTTTTATTCTGTTCTTTTCTTTGAAGTCAGTGGTGTTGATTTTGCAGGCCATAGAAATGCATATTGCTTTCAATCATTTAACGTACAACTAAATTATGGACTTAAAGGAAATATAAAACTCACTCAATATATTCATTTAGAAGTGACATGAGAGTAAAATTAGATTACATGCCAAGTGAATACTACTACCAGATAAATTATTTTGGATACAGAGTTCCTGTGAAAGACTACCAAACTAACCCCTTTCTTCTTCTAAACCTATCAACATGGTTTGTGCTCATACGAGATTTTTTTGGTTTCTCTGGTTTTTTATATTCTCAACACGACTATCTAAATTGTTTCTAGAGACTTTAGGGATTTCTTTACTCAATTCAAAAGTACCAGAAGTTCCACTTTCGGATTCTTTACTAGCTTTGCCTTCATTCTCAGATTCTACAGTTTCCTTTTCAGAACCATTAACAAGCTCAACACGGCCACTGTCCAAGGTTCCAATGTCCAAAACAGGGGCCTTACTCTTTGTGTTCTTTAACAATAAAGGACCTTCCATAGGCCTTTTGAGGCCAAACTTCTCTATATTCCCCATACCAACCATGCCAACACCAAACGGATTTTGTCAACCACCCAAAGTGGTAACCATTATAGCATCAAAATCACCAATTCAAACGTTGAATTGTTTCTTGGTGGGGTATTCGCGGAAGTCTTGTGGGAATGGAAGGTTATGGAGCTGACAATGACAAAACTATTTGTTGAACATACAAGGACTTGATGTTGAACTTACATGGACATGAAGCTTGTTGATTTTGATGATGATTCAAGAACAAAGAACTTAGAGAGTTGAAGACTTGTATTATTGTGTAATAACTCTGTTTTGATGAGTTTGAGTCTGTAATATTAGAGTCTAAGATAGCCAGTACACATTCTACTCTTTAGAAGCTTCAAAAACTCATATTTATCAAAAAGCCTTGGGTTTAATCGATTAAAAGACCAAATAATCGATTATTACAGTGAGAAAACCATTTTTTGTATCAGCTCACTGTGATAATCGATTAACACACCTGTTAATCGATTAACAAGGCAAATAATCGATTAAACCAGTGCGTTTTTGGTCTCTGTTGATTTTGACTCTATAATAATCGATTAACACTTGAGATAATCGATTATTTCAGTCAGATTTGCATTTTGAACTTCAAATTAAACCTATTTTTGAAAACCCTAGTCCCAATACACCAAGTTTCGAAAATCCCCAATTCCCAAACCCTAATTCATCTACTTAAGGTTCTCTAAGGCTCTCAGAAAATTGAACAACCTTTTTCAAACAAAAGTTAAGTGTTGTGATTGCCAGAGAACTGTTTGTTGGAGGAAAAAGGGGCTTTTGGAACTTGGTATGGGCTAGAAGCGATAAGAATCACTAAGTGGAGTTCTTGGTGGACTGTGTGTTGTGCCGTCTCTAGGGAAATCTGTTCTTCATCTCTTGTATGACTCAAGAGAGGTGTTTTCATTACTCTATCTTTTACATTGTTATATGTTTGTAAAAACTTGATTATAGTGACAGTGTTAATCCAGTGTTTGAGTGATTAGCAACTGGACGTAGGGTCTTTTGATCCGAACCAGTATAAATCTTCTGTGTAATACTCTATTCTTATCCTATTTACGTTTACACAGTATTTTAATCGGTAAAATTTGGGGAAAATTTTTAAAACCTAATTTTTGTTAAGAAACCAATTCAACCCCTTCTTGGTTTTTGTCTGTTCACGCAAACATTCTGTTGCGCGATTCTAACAAGTGGTATCAGAGCTTGCTTTGATAGTCATTCAAATTTTTCGAAAAATGGTCGGACAAAATCAAAATTTTGCCGAAGGTGCTTCTATCAACAGACCCCCACTTTTTGCGGGTCAAAATTATCCTTTCTGGAAAGTAAGAATGCAAATCTTTTTAGAATCTATTGATAGAGGTGTTTGGGACGCTATTTTAAACGGTCCCTATATTCCAAAATTTTTTGAAAACAAAGTAGACGTTCCTAAACCATTTTCTAGATGAACGGCGGAGGAAAATAGAAAAAATCAATTTGACGTTAGGGCTAGAAATATTATTTCATCTACTTTAACCCTTGATGAGTTTTATAGGATCTCTGTTTGTAAAAGTGCTCAAGAGATGTGGAAAATGTTAAGAGTGACCCACGAAGGTACTGGCGATGTTAAGAGAGCACGGGAAAATTCTCTAATCCAAGAATATGAGATGTTCCGAATGCAACAAGGCGAAACAATATTTGACGTTCAAAAGCGTTTCACACACATTGTGAACCATCTCACCAAATTAGGTAAAATTTTTGACGTTGATGAATTAAATGTTAAAATCTTGAAATCTTTGGATAGGAAATGGCAACCTAAGGTGACACCCATCTCGGAGTCACAAAACCTTGCCACAATGTCTATGGCGGCGCTCTTTGGAAAGTTGAGAGAGCATGAGCTTGAGCTTGGAAGGCTAAATGATGAGGAAGGACAATATCAAAAGAAGAACTTAGCCTTCAAAACTGAAATTTCTAAAGGTAAGAGTAAAAAGGAAGAAGAAGACTTGGAGAATGAAGAAGAAGAATTGAGTCTTATGATAAAGAAGTTTACCAAATTTATGAAAGCCAAAGGAAGACACCCATTCAAAGGTAAAGGAAAGGTAAGAGAAAATAATTCTATAAATATCAAATGTTATGGTTGTGGTGAAACAGGACATGTGAAGACCGAATGTCCAAACAAGAAAAATGAAGAAAACAAAGGCAAAAAGTTCTTCAAGAAGAAAGCCTACATCGTTTGAGACAATAGTGATTCAAGTTCGGAATCAAGTGACTCAGAAATTGAAGCCAATATTTTCTTAATGGCAAATGACAACATATCTTCCGACTTTGAGGTAAGTGATTCCGACTCATCTTCAAGTGATGATGAAAATAATTATGATGAACTACAAAATGCATGTAATGAATTGTTTAGTGCCTTTAAGGACTTGAAAAATGAATATAAAGATGTGAAAAAGAGTTTAAGTAGATCCGAAAAGGAGGTTGAGTCATTAAAAACGAAAATTGCATGTTTAGAGGAAAAGGAAACCATAGAAACGAAAATTGTATGTATAGATGAGAATGATGATAAAAATATAGTATGTGCATCTTGTAAAGAGTATGAATATGATATTGATATACTTAATCATTTGCTAGATAAAGCCGAAATGGAGATAAGTAACATTAATAAAGATAAAGTTGTTATAGCTCAAAATAGAGTAAACCATCAAGTTCCTTTGAAAAAGCCTAAAATTAAAAAGAGAAGAGTATGGGTGGAAAAAGAAACTAAATCATCTATTCTTAGAAATGCATCATATTCAAAAGCTACATCTAAAGCATGTTTTTATTGCATGAAAAATGGTCATACTTCAAATAGATGTAAAATCAAACATTTTGGTGTTCCTTAAGGAAAATACATTTGGGTTCCTATTGTTAAATGACTTGTTTGTCTCTAACCCTAAGGACCCAAAAGTTATGGGGACCTAAGTTTACTATGTTCTTGTTTTGTAGGAAACTTTCAAATCAAAGAAGTCTATGTGGTATCTTGCACTACTACAAATAAAGCTTTCAACGTCGGTTCTGGAAGGCTTTCAACGTCGGTTTACTAACCGACGTTGTATCAGGCGACGTTGAAAGTCGTAACTTTCAACGTCGGTTCTAATAAACCGACGTTGAAAGTCGACTTTAGATAGCGGTTATAAGGGAACCGCTATCTAATATACACTTTAGATAGCGGTTATAAGGGAACCGCTATCTAAAGTCGACTTTCAACGTCGGTTTAGTTAGAACCGACGTTGAAAGTATGATTTTTTAAATTAATAATTTTTATTTATTTACAACCCCTTTACCCCCTTTTATTTATCTAGAAGTCTCCTCTCTCTTCATATTATATTTTTATTAGGTCCTCCATCTCTTTATATTATATTTTTTAGAAGTTTTTTAATTTTTAAGAGAATTGTCATTGGCAGGATTCGAACCCGAGTACTTTAGAGTTGGAGGTCGATACTCCAACCACTAAACTACTTGAATTTTTTGATAATAACATACAAATAAATTATATTTATATACAAATAAATATATATATCCATGTAAATATCACTTGTAGAAATCCAACCCAGTGACCTTGAATCTCAAATCCGATTCCAGCTTCGAAGATCTTTAACCCAGCATGCATGACCTGACCTCAAGCTTGAAATCCAACCCAGTGACCTTGAATCTCAAATCTGAGTGACCAAAACACCCAATCAAAACTCAAGCAACTTCGAATCTCAACCCCAGCCTCAACCTCGACGAACTCGAGGCCGAACCCCAACTCGGCGACATCGAACCCCAATGTCAAGCCAAACCCAATTGTCATGTCTGTGAAACCCAACGCAAACCCAACGGAGCTCGAACCCTAACGCATACCCTAGTGACGTCGAACTCTCGAGCCAACCCCCACTTTAATTCGGTCGCAATTAGCGATTGATTGATTGCTCAAGGATGTGTAAAAGATGATATATTCAATGTATGTTAAAAAAGTTCAAGCCAAACTGTTTTTATAGAAGATTTTCAAAACTGCTTGGTTTAATTAATCTGTTAAAAGATTCTTTTAATCTGTTAAAAGTGCAGTTTTAATCTGTTAAAACTTCTTTTAATCCATTAATACGTTCTTGATTCTTTACATGATTTGTTTTAACTCGATACGACAACGTTTATATCAATTAAAACACTTTACAAAAAATCTTCTAAGTTGATTTAATCGATTGTTTCTCGATTCAATCGATTGAAATACTGCAAAACTTTCTCGTAAAACTTTTCAAGTTATTTTAACTGATAAAAACAAGTTTTAATCGATTAAAACGCTATGCAGAAATTGTTTTAATCGATTGAAACGAGATTTAATCGATTAAAATAGTTCTGATCGGTCATAACTGCATTCTGATCGATCATAATTGAAACAATATAATAGCGGTTCCAGGTTAACCGCTATCTAAAATGTTTTTCGCTTGAGCGACACTCTTCTCGCTCGAGCGAAACGCCCCCTGCACAAAATTGGCATTCTCGGGTTGTATTTCGCTTGAGCGACACTACCCTCGCTCGAGCGAAATAAGATTCTGATCGATCATAACTTGAAATGATCGATCATAATTGAGAGGATATAATAGCGGTTCCCTTAGAACCGCTATCTAAAGTGTATATTAGATAACGGTTCTCTTATAACCGCTATCTAAAGTCTGTGAGTTTTTGGCGACTTTCCACGTCGGTTGTTCCCTGAACCGACGTGGAAAGTGTCAATAAGTAAAAAATAAAAATAAAAAAAGACTTTCTACGTCGGTTGACTAAGAACCAACGTAGAATGTGTTTAATATGCACTTTCAACGTCGGTTCTCAGATGAACCGACGTTGAAAGTACTTTCTACGTCGTCTCAGCTATAACCGACGTTAAATAACGACGTAAAAAGTATATTTTGTAGTAGTGTTGATAGCGGATGCTCAAAGCATATGACCGGTGACAAAACGAAATTTGTGAGTTTCAAAGCTAAAGAACAAGGATATGTAACTTATGG